AAGGCGCCTGAAGACCATGGTAAAGATCCTAGACATTATTCTAAATATGACAGAAAGACACTAAGAATGGATAAATGATAAAATCTACTAAAACCTTTAAAAGAGGTTGGGGAACATCCAGCACATGGGCCATATAATATGGCCCTAGAAATCATTTGATCTGGCCCTGCCAAAGCATTAGGGATGAGTTAAAGGCTAACTTTTAAGTTGATAATTTTGTATGGCCCGTGAATATGTTAAATATCCAATGGCCCTGGGCAGAAAAAGTTTCACCTGCATTGAAATTATTAACTTCAAACAAACCACTATTAATTCAAAGGGGAAGATGAAGACTGGGTGACTGGATGTTCCAAATCAAAGGAGATTAAAGAAACATCACAACAAATGCAATATGTGACATGGGAATGAATCCCAAATCAGGGGAGAAAATTGTTAGAAGTACATTATTTGATCAATTGGTAACATTTGAAAATGGTCTCCATAAAAATTTGAAAATGGCCTCCATATGACAATGTATTGTATCAAAGTTAAACTTCCTGAATTAATATTTTAAAATGGGGGGAAAGGGACATGGCATGTGCAACTCATTCCTAAAATGTTTCAGCAAAAAGAAGTGGAAAAGCAGAGGGGAAAAAAAAAAGTCAAAATGTTAACATTTGCTGAAATCTAAATGAAGGATATTGTTAAAAGCCGAGGTGTCCCGCTCACAGTTCACATGCAGAAGTCCTAACCCCCAGCACACAGAATGTGACAGTATTAGGAGATAGAAGTTAAAACGAGGTCAAAAGAGTAGGTCCAAATCCAGTATATCTGATGTCCTCAAAAGAGATTAAGATACAGACACGTGCAGAGGAAAGACGGCATAAAAATAAAGGAGAAAACAGCCATCTAGTCAGAGAGTGGCTTCAGAAGAAACTAACCATGCTAACACTGACCTCAGACTTCTGGCTTCCAGAACTGTGAGAAAATAAATTTCTGTTAAGGCAGCCTTAGGGAAATTATTATATAGTTGAATTTTCCAATATGGTCAAGTTTGACAGATAAAACCAAATAAACAGATTAAGTACCCAAAGGAAAGTAAGAATGTAAAGAGGTCCTGAGACCAAAAAGCTTGAGAACCACTGGTTTAGATGCTTCCTAAAAGTATTTTCTTCCTTTGTAACTTTTGATCCTATCTTTAATCTTTTTGAAAAAAAATAGTATATCAATTATGTGTCTTTTCAACTAGCTTTCAAACTGACATTAACCTAAAAGAATTATTTCCTGTTTGTAACTCCTCTGCTTCTTATATAACTCACTGTAATTTAAAGTTTTAAAATATCCCATCACATTTTGACTGCTCAAGTCTAAGATCTGGTCACTACAGGCCAGTGATATCCAACAGAAATAAAATGCAAGCCACATTCATAAATTTTCTACTGGCCACATTAAAAAGTAAAAAGAAACAGAATTTTAATAAAATTATCGATATTAATGTGTTATTTTTTTCATACTACTTCAAAATCTGGTTATGTTATTTTACATTTACAGGACATCTCAATTCAGAAAAGCCAAATTTCAAGTGCTCACCAGCTACTATGTGGCCAGTGGCTAATACTTTACAAAACATATTTAACACAGCTCTAGACAGAAGCAAAAATACTTCATCTTCAAATGCACTTGAATTCTGATTTGAGTTTTACATCCCAGTGACCACATCTTATTACTTTTCTTCTTCAATTCTGATATTTAATATTTCTATTTTATTGTGCTGCTGCATATATTTATTGAACACTTTACTTCCCAAATGCCAATCCTGATTTACATTTCTTTCAGGGAATTTTATATTTTGAGAAATCTGTCATTTACAATATAGTTTTGACCTTTTGTTACAGTTTTTTCCCCTAAAACTATAAGGACATATATTGACTTTTCTACTTACAGATCATTTTGAATTATCCAAAGTCAAGACAAATGAAAACAGAACCTGAAGCAAACATTGCAGAAAGAAGTGCAACTGTCAATATAGCACTAGAGGATTCCTAAAGTGGATGTGGCACTGAACCTGCAACGTATTACAGCCTCCTTCATCCATGACAAACCAACTTAATACCCTCTTTTTTATTTTTAAAATTCCGCAGTCTGTTCCATGCCTCTGGGTCTACTTAGTTCATCAGTGTATTTTGTTCATTAGATTCCACATATGATGAGATCATGTGAATCATGTGATATTTGTCCTTCTCTGACTGGCTTATTTCATTTAGCATAATCATCTCCAGGTCCCTCCATGTACTTCCTTTTCACTGCTGCATAATATTCCATAGTGTAAACGTGCCACAGCTTTTTTTTTTTTTTTTTTTTTTTTACGAATCATCTACTGATGGGCATTTGAGCTGTTTCCAGATCTTAGCTATTGTAAATAATGCTAATATGAACATATATTCTTCCAGATATGATTTAGGGATTCTTAGGGTATATTTCTAGAAGTGGGATCACTGGGACAAACAGCAGCTGCAGTTTTAACTTTTTGAGGAAACTTTACACTATTTTCCATGGTGGTTGCACCAGTCTGCATTCCTACCAGCAGTGCACTGGGGTTCCTTTTTCTCCATCCTGGCCAGCTCTTGTTGTTTATTGACGGTAGCCATTCTGGCAGGTGTGAGGTGATACCTCATTATCGTCTTAATTTGCATCTCTCTGATGTTTAGTAATATTGAGTATTTCTTCGTATGTCTCTTGACAACTTTTAAAACCTGTATGAGAGACAAGGCCCTAAAACACCTACCTTTGAAAGCTAATGGAGCCTGCATCCACAAGACCCACAAAGCTATAATGAACTGAGAAATGGTTCTTAAAGTGCTCTTACCCCGAAGTCTCATGCAGACTGCAAAGCACCCAGACTTTCTGTGAAAGGCTTATTTGCTCATCTTTAAACACCAGAATGAGATGCAAGCATCTAATTAATACATATCTAGGAGCCTATGGTAACACTTTCCAGATAAGCAGAAGCTAAAGGGTTCATTATCACCAGACCAGCCTACAAGAAATGTTAAAGGGATTTCAAGTTGAAATGAAAGGGCACTAAGTATAAATATCACCAATAAAGGTTAGATTCTTTACTTTTGAAAGAATCTAATATTGTAAAGGTGGTGGGTTAAACAGTTACAAAAATAATATAAGAGTTTAAAAAAGTAGTAAAAATAACCATAACTATAATAATTTGTTAAAGGGTACACAAACAAAATGTGAGTGGTAGGAAAGAAGTACCGATATAGAAGTTGTAGGAGTAATTAATTTTGGAACAACTTCAATTGCACTTCTGCCTAGTCATTGGTCTTCTGCCATTCCACCTCATTAGTCCACGTAGGTGTATAATCTAAAAGTACTCATTTTTATAAGTCCTTTGAGTATTGTAAAGACCAGCTATTATCTAAAGAAAGTGAAGTATCCAAAAAAGACTAGGAAAGGTTAGTGAGTGAATCAAGTTCTCATGACACTATTGACTTCGCTTCCTAAATTTTGGCTAAAATTCACTTCTCAACCTCTACAAGACAAAGAAACACACTAGGTCAAAGTTGGCAGAAACTTTCAAGACTTTTCTTGACTTATATCAAAGACAGAGGTCTAAGAACAAAATAATGAAAGACCAAATTGTTCTCTTTTCTATTGGAACTAATTTCAACATGCAAAGTTCAAAATTAGCCACTGATTTTCTATGAAGGCACTTCTCACATGAACAACTCCATGAAACATGGCCATGCTTATACACTGAATGGCAGATTATGATCTCTGAATGCATTATCTGGCCACTCTGTGTATATCCTATATACTAAAAGGCTAATATGCAAATTGTCCGTTCGACCAGCAGTCTGGCTGGACCCCATCCATGCATGAATTCATGCACTGGGCTTCTTATGCGTTCAGAGATCATAATCTGGTCACTCAGTTTATATTATAGTATTAAGTAATGGTTAATGATTCCCCTAAGCAAATATCTCATAAAGTTCTAAAAGTCTTTAAAAATCTATATCTACAAAGCTGAGCACCTATAATACAGGAATTACAAGCCAGTCCAGACAGCATTCTTCAGTAGCTATTGTAGATACACACCTGTCAAAGCTTTTGAACATTCAGAACATAATTTTAAAGGGAAAAATTAACCAGCTTATATATTTATGGCATATCAGAAAGAGGAGGAGAAAATCCTAAAAGGAGTCAAAGATTCTAAAACGAAGGTGGAAAAAAACATAAGAAAATGTTAAATCACTGGATATAGAAGAGTTTCCAACAGGTCACACAAATAAAATTCTCACAAAAGAATAGTCAAAAGTAAAACAAAACAAAAAACACAAACTATTCTATATTTGCACACCAATTAGAGATCAAACAAGGAGTAGGTAAAAATGTAAAACAGGCAATAACTATAAACACTATTAATGAGAATATAACTATAAACACTATTAATGAGAATATAGAGTGGAAATCAATTTGTCATGACTTAGTCGATGATTTCTTAATTTGACTTCTGTAACTCTTTGAGATAAATAACCCCGAATATAGAAGTCTTCATGTAAAAGGGGATTTACAAAAACAGCATCATCAGTAATGTAATTAAAAAAGTAAAGATATGTACTGTAATTTGTAGAATGACCGCTACATACATACACATGAATACTAATAGTACAGTATAATCCAGCCATTAAACTCGAGATTGAAATAAAATGTCCTAATGCTGACTGAAAAAATCATGAAATTATTATACACTTTAGGGATAATTGTATGTAAAAATCTGTACACACAAAGCCAATTGAAAGATATTAAATATGCAACAGTACCAAAACAAAACATTTTTAAATAGGGAGTAATATGATAAAAAGTTGCCACTTTATGGAGAGATGATATTTATAACACAGCCAGTAATTGCTAATCAAGCCATCTTTGCAAAAAATATATTTGTTCAATTATTTCATCTGAGTAACTTCTAGTCACAAATTTTTAAAAAATCATTATAAAAAACTTACCACATGAGTAGTTTTTAATGTATTGCCATCAAATCTGCACAAACTGGAACTCTCTTCAAAGAAAATATCACATTCTTCTAACTCTTGAGCATTACAAGGAGGTTTTCCTTTATCAGGATCTGGATTCTTAAACCAGAAAATAAATTAAGTATAGAAACAATAGAAGAATGAATTTCTTCATATTTAAAAGTGTTAATATTATAAGAAAAATTAAAAACTAAATTTCAGACCCATGATTAATAAATACTTAATCAACAGAAATTATGGAATGATGGAATCAGCAAAAGGCATATTGAAACAAACAAAGCCTATATATTCAAAGATGTAAAATAAACATGTCCAGAGAGTTATGGAAGATATAAAATGGAACAAATTTATCTAAGATGAGACATTTCAGAAGACCAGTGAGCATGAAACATAATAATTGAGTTTATCTACATTAAAACACAGAGAAGATAAAGAAAAAACACAGAATCCTATTGGCGTGTGGAACAACATCAAGTGGTCTAATATATGAGTAATTGAAAAGGGGAAGAAAGGAAAAACTTTTAAAGAAATAATGGTTTATTTATTATTTATTTATTTAAATTTGATGAAGACTTCACTCCTATAGATTCAAGGTCAAAGCCTGGATGTAGAGCCACCTAGTTGTGGTTGTCTGCTCCAGCTGAAAAATCAATGGAAACAATTCTGGATGTTGTGGTTGGCTGTAGCTGGGGCCACTATTACCCTGACTCAAGAAGATACACATGCCCAGTGGGATAAAGAAAGAACTTTCCACACTCCTTTCTCTCTTCCCCTTTCAACTGCCCATATGTTACAGATTGGAAGGCAAAAATGAAAACTCCAGGACTGTCACGGCAGCCAGTACTGAACTGGACAGGATTACAGAGAAAAGGGGATGGGATCAGGGCAGTTGGGGAGAGTATAAAGAGGAATCTATGATACTTCCAACAATAAAGATAAATGTAAAATAAAATGGTATATAGCACATACAGTTACGTATAGTAGTTAATACTTGATAATGGTAATAATCTATGTTACTGGTTCACAAGTTTACTATACTTTTTATTTTAGACTGTACTCTTTCTACTTATAAAAAGTTTGCTACTTATAAAAAGTTTGTATAAAACAGTATGCCAGGTTATACCAGCAGCAGCCTCATACATCTGGTGCTTACCGCATCTCGATTGCATCATTATCTTGATTTAATCTCATGTTGAGTTATACAGTGACATGTTGTAGAGGTTGGTAGCCTAGGAGCAATAGGCTATCCCATCTAGGTTTGTGTAAGCGTACTCTATGTTGTTTGTACATTTAAGCCATTAAACATGTTACAAAATCGCTTACCATGACATTTCTCGGGACAAATTTCTGTTTTTAAGTTTGTGCATTTTTTTTGCGTGTGTATATGTAGAAAGAGCGATACATACATAGATGCTCCTCTACCCTACACAGCATGCCCTCCCCCACATATATATGTATTCAAATATTGCAAGGAATGAAAATTGGAATTTTAAGTCATATTCAAACACCAGTCAGCAATAGTTAATCTATGTTCTTTACCTTAAAAAAGCAAAATAATGTTTGAAAACCTGGCATATCCTCATCTTTCTGATTCTTAGAAAATGAAAATACTATTGTGATTGCTTACCAGTTGTTCAGAGGTCAAATGCATCAACCGTTCAGCTATTGCAGCACATTGGGCTGGGTCTCTTATAAATTCCCCTTGCTTATCACCAACTACTAGCTCTGGCCAAGTCAGTCCTTCATTCTTCTTAATCAAGGAAATCTCCACGCTAGAAGTTTAAATGAGAAAAGTAATACTGTATTAGGCAACTATACAAATTATACAACTAATACCAAGAGAAGAATCTCCCATAGAAATTATCCCTCCAGTGTCCAGATGTTTTACCAAATATTGTGTTCATTTTAGTTCTGCATATGAAAAATCTGTAATTTAAGTATAGGTAATTTAGATTTAATAAACAAAGTCCTATTGAAAATACTGTATAAAATAGCTTGATGAGAGAATTGGAAAGAGTAAGGCAATCCAGAAAGCATTGTTGCAGTCCAGCTGTGTGGTATGTTACCAAACTTAAGTAACAGAAATCTAAGTAGCACACATCTGAGATATTTCATGGGGCAATAGTGGGGTGGGAAAATAAATTGGAAAGGGCCTATAACTAAAGGTACCTGTATGTGTGTGAAACCAATTAACTTTATTTTCACAAACTAGTAGCCATAATGTATAATTCTTCACCTGAAGATCAGGCAAGTTAAATCAATATAAATGTTATTTCTCAAAATTCAGATTTTAAAGAATTGAAATGAAATGTAGGATTTAGAAAAATAACAACTTTGGTAAAACAAGATCCAAGTTAACATGGTCTCTATCAACTTAAAATCTAATTCTGTACACAAATTCCAAAGGTACTAAAAAGGGTCTCTAGAGGAATCCTGAGATTCCGGTCCGATGCAGCAGTAAAGGGAGAGCGAGCTGAGCCAGGCACACAGTGGATGCAGGAGGACAGGGAGTTGCCACGTGCCTCTTGAATAGAAGGGCAATGCAAGTGAGCTGCTTTGGGAGCGGCCTCAGCTGGAACACAGAGGAAAGCAGGGTGGGAGCAGCCTTTCCATGTGCCACCTTTGGTACACGTGAGCTACCCTAACCCACGCCCTGGAACACAACTGCAAGCAAACAATTGCAAGAACATAATAATAACTATTATCATAATTATCAAACAGAACATGCAACTTATCAACTATTCTTTTTCAAGGCAGTTATCACCACCTCATGAATTAATTACAGCACTTTAACATTTGCTGAAACTACTTAAAGAGATTATACAAAATACCTTATGTAACATGAATTCCTATCATTAGCATTAAAATTACCACCTCAACCAATAATGCTCCAAGTCCATGTTCTTCACAATTGCACTATTCTGCCTCTCTGCAAAAATATATGTAAACAACTACTAAAGAACTTTATCCAGCCAAAACCGGTTTGGCTCAGTGGATAGAGCATCGGCCTGCGGGCTGAAGGGTCCAGGGTTCGATTCAGGTCAAGGGCACATTCCCAGTAGGGGGTGTGCAGAAGGCAGCTGATCGATGATTCTCTCTCATCGATGTTTCTGGTTCTCTATCTCTCTCCCTTCCTCTCTGTAAAAAAATCTATAAAATATATTAAAAAAAAAAAAACTTTATCCAGTGACCAGAATGTATAAATACTGTTCTTATCAGTTGCTACCTAAAGAAGTTAGAGTTCATATAATCTCAGTTATAAAAAATTCTGATCCTTTTATTAAATTGGCAAAACTGCATGTCTACATTTTAATACTACTATTGCCATTCAAGCCAAAAGGAACATAAGACCCAATACATAAGAAACTGTAGACTAGTTTTTCTTACATGAGAAGGAGCATTATTTGAAAATAAGATACAGATAATTTAATCAACTACAGAAAATTGTGTGCTTTTAAACCAACGATCCCATCTACACATCATAGTAATTACCTTTTCTAACATAAAATAGTAATCTAGCAAGTCAAATTCAATGGAAAAATAATACTGGACTATGGTCAGGGATTAAATGCTTGAAACAATCTGCATGAGCTGCATGAGGTCCAGCTATTCTCATAGACCTTTAGTGGGTTCCTGTTTAATGACATATTTAACAATATGTTCTATTTGGCTTGCCAGTTTCAATGTATCTCACACACACACACAAAATGTTTAAACAGAATATGTGGAAATATATTTTTAAAAGAATCAGATAACTTGAGATTTTTGAAAATATATTTTAAAAGTATAACCAAGTCTTCCAATTTCTCCATTAATAAAATAAATTCAGGATATCTGCTTTAAGGTTAAAAAAAATTAAACTAGATATTATCTTATTTTTTACACTCTCAGGATTTAGACTCAGACCAAAGATTCAATGGGTCATATATTACTAATCAAGAATGATATTTAGGAAAAATATCTGACACCCACTTCCGATCAAATTTGACCATTTAAAAATTAAGTTCCCAATACTACTTATTAATCCATCAATGAATTTAAGAATTACTACGACATGATATATAAGAGAATAATTTTTTTTAAATATATATTCTATTGATTTCTTAGAGAGGAAGGTAGAGGGATAGAGAGTTAGAAACATCGATGAGAAAGAGTCATCGATCAGCTACCTCTTGCACCACCCCTACTGGGGATGTGCCCGCAACCGAGGTACATGCCTTTGACCGGAATGGAACCTGAGACCTTTCAGTCCGCAGGCAGACACTCTATCCACTCAGCCAAACCGGTCTCGGCTAATAAGAGAATAATTTTATTAATCCAAATGACTGAGGCATGAAGTACCTGGGACAATAGATTTGTAAAGAGGCATAGCGAGGGTATAAGATAATAATAAAAGCGGAATACGCTAATTAGACTGTATGTCTTCCAGATGACCTTCAATTGAAGGAAGCCCTGGTCCTGGGTGAAGGAAGGCCTACTTTTGCATGACTTTCCTGCATGGGTCTCTAGTGGTTTTATAAGATCCTTAATGTTTGTTTACCTTTTAATACTCCTTTAATGGAGGTATAATTTATAGACAAAATTCCCAGGTTTCAAGTGTAGAATTCAGTGAGTTTGACAAATGCATACACCCATATAACCCAAGGAAAATAGTGAACATTCCAGAAAGTTCCCTGTACCCTGTGCACACACAGTTATCACCTAAAATTTAGGTCCTAAATGATTATGCACAGAGTAGCATATGAAGCCATAAAATAGAATAAAAAAATTATGCATTCTTTATGAAAAGCTCTCCAAAATTTATGATTAAAGTCACAAAAGCAAGCTATATCGCTGTTTATAGTATGTGATGAAAACTTTTTTGTTAAAAAAGGAAAATAGTATATATGCTGCTTAAATATGTATAAAAGTAAACTAATACTGTTGTAAGGAGTTAGAGATGGGTGACTGGAGGGCCTGGATTGGAGGGAGACTTATCACTCTATAACCTTTTATAGATCTTAAATTTTAAAGGATGGGAATGCATTATCTAGTCAACAAAGTAAAGGTGGTAGAAAAATTATTTCTATTAAAAAGTACATATTAAAATAACCATTTTCACCTATTATTATTGTTGTTACTATTACTATTATTGTATTCAAAGCTGGTAATGAAAAGCACTACTGTGTAATGTAAGCAATAACTATAACTAGTATCTTTAATCTTAACTATAATTATGTTCTTTGACATAGTAATTCCAATTTTAATCTGCCTTGAAAATAATCAGCAACTCAAACAGACCAATTATAGTATTCCCTTCTAAGCTAACTGCTGTGGAAAGAATATAATGTAAAATAATAAAAAATAAAATTTAAATATAAATAAGAGGGGGGCCTAATATATTTGACTTTGGAGAAGATTTGACTTTGGATGGTAGGAACACGGTGGGTAAACAGATCTTGTAATATAGAAAGAAATCTGCACCTGAAACCTATATGTTCATGTTGACCAATGTCATCCCAATGAATTTAATAAAACAAAATTAAAAAATACAACAATAAAATATATAAAAAATACCTATTATTTTCTTTAATTATCCATGTACTACTTTCATGATCAACAGATGAATAGAGATTTCCTTCCAAAATCTTCTGACCCTTCAGCACAACGTTAACATGATCGGGCAAAAACTGTACTTGAATGTCCTCCTTAGAACTATCTTCTGGAAGCCGTATGGTGACAGTCAGATCCTCTTCAGTCTGTTGCCAGTAATACAGAGGCTCTATTGGGAGGGAAAAAATATGCATTATAATAATAAAAGTGTAATATGCTAATCAGACTGACGTCCGTCCTTCCTTCCTTCCGGACAAAGCCACAGTGGGTGGAGGCAGCGGGTGGAGGCAGCAGGTGGGGGCGGGGGCGAAGGTCCTTGCACAAATTTCGTGCATCAGGCCTCTATGTTATGTAACTAAAAAGTTAGATAACAGAACATATAAAATTAAGAAACTAGAAGATACAAAAGAACACCTATCTAAAAGAAACAGCATATTTTTTTAGTGATCTCACACAAAAAAGTAATTATAACCAAACACACAGAGATTTTTCAGTTATAGCATTTGCACTTGTCAATTTCCTCTTCCAGGTTTACCTAAGTATTCATAAAATACTGACAGCCCATTCCTCTCTCCTTGCCTCCCAGTCCCTCTCTTATATACTCTGAAAATCTCTATTAAAAACTATAACACTCTTTGGCTATAAACATAAAAAATATGAACAGTAATGTTTATAGAGGGAATATTTTTATATTGATCTATAGATGTATTTATCTCTTGAATATTTTTAAAAAGAATATCAATTCTTTATATATAAATGTAAACTTCTTCTGAAAGACCTTGTTCCTTTTTTAATTCTGAAAACATTACAAACCTTCATTCATTCAGTCAGTCTCCACCTCCAGAGAAAACATTCAGTGATTATACCTTCAAGGAACTTCCTTTCAGTTTATTAGGAAAGATATACTAGTACACTTGTAATAGAGTTGAGCCTACTGTTAAAAATTAATATCCTTAATGCTAATATGCCAGCTTCTCAAATTCCAAGAAATAGGCATTATTTATTCTTTAGCCAAGTATTTAATAAACATCTAATCACATAAGCTAATATATATAAACATTTTTGGTAATTATAAAATTATTAAATTAAACTAGTTTCACTAGGCGGTATATTTTACAAAGATTATTCTGGGAAATACAAAAGAAAATTTAAAAAATAATTAAGCACTATCTCGACTTGATAAAACTATAACCTATAAGGGCAGATAAACTACACAAATATGTATCTATACTAATAAAAGGGTAATATGCTAATTAGACTGGGAGACCTTCTGGATGTCCTTTTGGACAAAGCCATGGTGGTGGGGCCGAGGCAGAGGTGGTTAGGAGCGATCAGGCCAGGAGGGGAGGGCAGTTAGGGATAATCAGGCCAGCAGGGAGGTGGAGGGAGTAGGAGGAACAGTTGGGGGCAAACAAGCCAGCAGGGGCCAGATGGGAGTGATCAGGCCAGTGGGAAGGGGGGGGGGAGCAGTTGGGGCAAGCAGGCCAGCAGGGGGGGCAATTGGGGGCAAGCATGCTGGTGGGGGAGGGGGAGGAGGGGCAGATAGAGGCAAATAGGCTGGCTGAGGTGGGGGCAGTTGGAAGCAATCAGGTCGGCAAGGGGGGGGGCAGTTGGGGAAGAGAAGGCCAATGGGGTGCAGTTGGGGGTGTGAAGGATGGAAGGCAGAATGGTTAGGGGTGATCAGGCAGGCAGGCAGGTGAGCAGTTAGGAGTCAGCAGTCCTAAACTGTAAGAGAGATGTCCAACTGCCGGTGTAGGCCCAATCCCTGTGAGATGTCTGACCGGCAGTTGAACATCCCCAGAGGGGTCCCAGATTGGAGAGGGTGCAGGCCAAGCTGAGGGACACCCTCCCCCTCCACCTCTCCCTCCCCCGAATTTCATGTACTGGGCCACTAGTATACATATAAATACACATGAACCATATGAAGGTAAAAAGTAAAATTACCTTTGATTTTATCTGACATTTCTTCATCTTTCTTTTCTTCAACATCTTGACCAACTGGAACAAATGTGAAGGACTTGTAGGAGACGATCATTAGACCATTCCCATCCGGCTCAATAGCAGCATAATGGGGCACTGACTTTCCACGGAGAATATCACGTTTAATAATTTCATATCTTTTATTATCTGAAAGAATATTATGCATTTTCTGAACAAAAATTGCAAATAAAAAACTATTATAAAAATGTTTTGAATATATGTTAATTTCAATTCAAACTAATATTAAAATGTACTATTAAAAGACATTCTATTGGGTGTCTTTATAGATAAAAAGATAAAAAATATCTAATACTGACCACCTAATGTTCTGTAAATAAATCATAAATTTAATATGCTGGATTTGATAAAAATTGTTCTAGATTGTGCTATCCAATGTGGTAGCCACTGATCACAAGTGGCTATTTAATTTAAATTAAGTAAAATTGGAAATTCATTTCCTTAATCATACTAGCCACATTTCAGGTGCTCAACCACCACACAGGCTAGCCGCTGTCACACTGAATGGCACACATATTGTATAAAACATGTCTGTCTTGCAGAAATTTGTACAGGACAGCTGTGCTCCAGATCTTGAAAATGACTGACTGACCCAAACTACCAGCCTCTGAAGCATCTACCTTTTCCTTGACTACAGCCTGTCTCCTTTCCTAGCAAGTGCACAACAGGCATCTTCTGAAAAAAGCCAGGTGAGAATAAGGGAAAAAGTGTGGTGTGGACTATTTTTCTGCCCATTCTAGCTACTGATAAGAGGTTGTATTAAAATATGTTTAAGGTAGAAATGATTTTTATATACACCCAGATATATATTTATATGCCTATAACAAACATAAAAAATTATACTTAGAATTTTTAAGATATAAATAACTGTTTTCTAAAGTGTCTGGTAAATTAAATTTATTCTATGAAAATACGTTATTTTTGCTTTTAAAAGAACCTAAACATTTTAGATGAGTCTATGTCTTTACTTATACTGTTACTTATAATGTAAACTTCACACTGAACAGTCAAAATTGTAACTCAATGTCATCTGAGTTATAAATAAAACCTATTCTAAAATATCAATTATTGGTTTTGCTCTAAAACTTCATCTACATTCACACATTTATTGCATGCATATTTAAGAATAAACTTTATTTCATTTCATGAATTAAAAACTTATTTTTCTACACAAGTAAGTACATGCAGGGCAAAGAATCCTATCTCCTGTAAAGATTCAAAGTTAGACACTGTGTATTTTACAATGTGTGGGACAGAAAATAATAGGTAAGTTTCAAGTGAAATCCATGGTTAAATAAGTTGGGAAAGTCTAGATTAAAATTAAATTTTCTTTTTTAGTCAAAATGTTTAGAAACTTTAATATGCTTAATGTGTAATGGGGGATACAGTATGCCCACATTTTAAAACTAACTTGACCACAAAATCCAGTAAATATATTTAGCTTACTTATAAACTATTCTGATTATATATATCAGAATATGGCAGCCTTCCTTTCCCTGGCTGCCAGCATCCATTTCCCTCCGGCACCTGGGACCTAGGCTTCCCTTGCAGCCCTGGCTTCGTCCAGGAAGATGCCTAGTCTAATTAGCATATTATGCCTTTATTATTATAGATACACACACATAGATTATATGTATACATATACACACACACATGTGCCCATGTATGTATATGCACATATATATTCACATATACATGTAGTTCATTTTACAAAAGCTCTCTCAGAAAAAAATGCTAATAACCTTTATCAGATTAGAAACTAGCAGCTACAGTAAGAAATCTCTTTCTCTAGAGATCAATTTAATGATAATTTAAAACTGGTAAGTTAAATAAGTAGGTTAATAAAAACTACTGAGGAAAATAACAGTCATGGAAACAAGCTCCCTTAGTGCTAAACTATAGTAAAAAAAAATCAATTGTTGTATAAAAGTGAAGCACTGGCAAAGAGCAAGGCCAGACCATTAAAGGAATTCTAATAAATAATAAATAAAAAAAAGTAAGTTTTAATGTCCAAGTTAAAAGTTTGACAGACAGTTTCAAACAGAATGAAAGTGAGAACTTTCCCACACATGAAAGCACGTTGGGTGAAAAAAAATAAGAGTTTTCCTGAGGGTAAAAACAAATGGCAAAGTCCAATTTTATTGAAAAGAAATCAGTTGTGATTTAATAACTAAAGATATTCATTTCCATATAGGCAGTTATATTTAATTTATATATCAATTATACTGTGATTTATAATTAAGTTACATTTCGTTTTATTAAATATTCAGAGGCAAAAGTAAGTTTACAGTTATGAAAACATGAAAGTGTATTCTTATATCATTTATTTATTATTTTCCATATGAACCATACACCTATTTTTGTCCCACCCTATATATACAAATTCTTTTGCACATACATATATGTGTACATATACACATATATTCTTGTATATATTAACAATATACACTTTAAATTCTTTAAAAATTATGTAACAATATCTCTTATAATATTAAAAAAAAGCATAATTAACTGGGGAAGCACATTATTTTTTTTATAAGGAGAAATTATCTATAGATACTCATTGCACTGGATGGCAGGTACTAGAATCACAACCCAATACCAAAGAAAACGCAAACATTTACAGGAACAGCTTTGCGCTTCAAACTTAACTACATTATGGCAACCAGTTGGAGAGTCAGAGTATGTTATGTTTTACCTTTATTTTTCTTACTGATAGTGACCCACTCCAAGGAAACAAAGAAACCACTTCCTTTCATGTCCGATTCTTCTTTCTCCACTCGAAGAAGCAGGGTAGCTACTGAATGTTCTTCAGCTTTCAGCAATGAGATGCTGTGGATTAGGATAAAAGGACTCCCTAGTTCTTCATTAAACATAATCTGAGAGAGAAAAAAGGTGACACATACAAAAGTATATCTATATATAACATGAATGCAGATAGCAGAGAGAATACACAGAATTCTGACAATCTAATAATTAATCTCCATACTATTTATTACAAGGAACACAAAATCTTAAAAAGCCTTTAAATAAAGGTTGCAACTTTAAATAGGATTCCTTGAAGAATTTGTAAAATATATTTGTTTTGTTTAACAGAGAAAACTTATCAACACTCTTGGCTTAAAAACAAAACAGGTCATACAAGTAGCATCTAAAGGAGAAAGAACTAAAAGCAATCTCCCAGAAATGAATTATCAAGTGAAAACAGTGCTCTATACAAAAAAAGACTTGAGCAGTTACCAGTATTATTCCTCCATCTCTTCCCCTATCTTCATATATGATTTATTTCTGCTTTCTTTCTCTTAGTGTCTGGATATCAGGCATGCATGTATATGTGCATGTGTACTTTTTTTCCTATTTTTATTTTTGGTTTGTCTTTCTGTTGATTTCTGAAAGTTTCTAAAGAGTCAAAGGCACTGGAAAACAAATCACTAAAACTTTCTTAGTTCTCAAAAACAAAAGAACAATTTAATTTAAAAGTTATAAATTCAACCATATTTAATACATAATATTAAATTTGCTTATAAAAAAGAAAATATAAGAATCATATGGAGACACAAAATCTTATCAAATTCTTTTTTAATACTATAAGCAATCTAAAAGACAATATTTTATTAGAGTAAATACTAAATAAAAGTTCTTTTTAAAAAATATATATTTTATTGATTTTCCACAGAGAGGAAGAAAGAGGGATAGAGAGCTAGAAACATTGATGAGAGAGAAACATCGACCAGCTGCCTCCTGCACATCCCTCATTGGGGATGTGCCCGAAACCAATATATATGCCCTTGACCCGGGACCTTTCAGTCTGCAGACTGACGCTCTATCCACTGAGCCAAACCGGTTTTGGCTAAATAAAAGTTCTTTAAGACTGATTTCTAAACAAATTTCAAATGAAAAAAATAAATGAAAAAATACTCAACTAAGCAACAAAAATCAGCTCCTCTTATGTTGTTTTAATAGGAAATGCTCTGGTAAATATTCCGGACAACTAGCAGAGTGGTGCAATGGAAACTTGTTAGTCCCATGAACATAACAGCAAATATAACAAAGCACAGGAGAAAAGATATGCTAATGTAATTTTTTGGCCAATTCTTCTTCAATAAGAAGGCAAGGTCAATGTTTAGTGTACTGCTTTACATCTATGAAATACTCAATAAATATCTGCTGAAAAAAAAAAATGCAATTTTTGACAACTGCATTGGTCCCAGATTAAAACAGGAATGGTTAATATATCAGTTTTGTATAGGACATACATCTTATAATTTAATTAAAAATATATTCAAAATATCATCCTAATATATAAAAACCCAGGGTCCATAATGACTGACCACTGGAAGTCAGTCCTGCAGTGAGTGCTGGATTGCTGTGATGACCCAGCACTGACTGCCGCAGGTGCGGGCACAACGACCTAGCACTGACTGCTGAGGAGGCTCTGGATCAGGCCTAGAAAGAGGCATGAAGAGAGAGGCAGGGTCTGATCCGCAGCCTCCGTGGCAGCTGTTGATCAGCCGTGCCTCTTTCTTTCTCTGCGGGCTTTGCCAGCAGCAGTGTCTGTTTCTCTCCGGGCCTTACAGGGGCTGCTGATCAGCCCTGCTTCTCTGATCAGGTCAGGAGATAGGCCTGGAGACACTGACTGGCATAGAAACCGACCAATCAGAACCAAATTGCCTGGCAGGGGAGGGCATTTGGGGGTGATCAGACAGGCAGGCAGGTGAGCAGTTAGGAGCCAGCGGTCCCAGATTGCGAGAGGGATGTCCGACTGCTAGTTTAGGCCTGATCCCTGTGGTTTAGGCCCCCCCACTCAGTGCATGGATTTAGTCTATATATATAAAAGCCTAAGCAACCATTAGGACCAAATGACCATTCAACCACTTGCTATGATGCACACTGACCACCAGGGGCAGATGCTCAATGCGGGACCTGCCCCCGGTGGTTAGTGCGCTCCCACAGCCAACCTCCCACAACCCCTCTCCACAGGCCCTGATGGAGGGGACTGGCAGGCCAACTTCCTGCGGTCCCTCCCCCAGGCCAGCCAGGCCCCAAGAGGCCTTGATCACCTGCCAGGCCGAGTGACCCCACCCGTGTACAAATTCGTGCACCGGGCCTCTAGTATATAATAAAAATAAAAAGTCACATATAATCTATCCCTAAAATGTGTTATTTTAAAATCATTGGTTTCTTCCATTTATATATTCTTCCCAGCTTTTGCATAAATCTGAAACAACAAAAAACACACCTCACCTCCCATTTTTCAGAAGCATTATTTCCACGTTCGCCTGTTGCAATGAGATACAATCTTCCAGTTCCATCTGACAAGGTGACCCAGGTAGAAGATGTGAAATGGATAGATGCACAAAGGCGATTATCGTACGCTGTCAAATCTGTAGGAAGTCGAAATACCTCTCGTGGTCTTGCTAAGACAGTGTCCTAAAAAGAAGACCAATAGTATAAATGAATCCCTCCCTCTCTCCTTGGTCCATATACACACAGAATTAATATCTGCAGTGTTATGCTCCTCCTCAAGGGAAGGCATCTAACTGCCCTCCCTTAGAGTACTACTGACTTCTAATAAAATATGGCAGAAATGATGGCAATGTGACTTCTGAGACTAGATCTTAAAAGACTTTGTATCTCCTTGCACTCTCTCTTGAACAGCACGTGGTAAGCCCACCTGGGGAAGAATTGAGAACTCTTGACAATAAGCATCCTGTGAGTGCGTCACCTTGGGAGTGTATCCTTCAAACCTAGTCAAGTCTTGGAATTACTGCAGTCCTGCCTGACATCGTCCTTAACTACAATTCCGTGAGAAACTTTGAGATAGAATCAGCTAAGCGATTCGCAAATTTCAGCGAGATGACAAATGCTTATTGTTTTGTTTCAAGCCACTAAGGTTTTTTAAAGTATAGTTAACATACAATATTATATTAATTATAGTTGTACAGCATAGTTATTTGACACTTAAATCTACCTAATGACACGATCATGATAACACTAAAGAAAGTTGTTTCACAGAAATACATAGATAACTAATACAAAGCAAGAATCTAGTTTTTATTCTTAAGTTTAGAGTTAATAATCAGCATTTTTAATTAGAAATACCACATCATGTTCTAAATTCCTAGCATAGACATCAGCCTGTGGTATGAAAACACTACATTTAGACTATTAACTTAGGCTTTTGTCAACACATTTTTATTAGGTCCATGATCTCATAACTTAAAGCTGTTAAATAGATTGCATCATTACAATGTTTTACAAGAAAATATATAAAAAGGCCTACAATCCAGAAAATAAACTTCCTCTCATACACTGTACTCAATAATTTTAGGTTGTTTTATTTTACAGTGAACAATTTTTCAACAGGACAAACATACTCCTTGATTCATTTCACTCCCGGCTCCTAGAACTGTTTAGATAGGTGCATATAAGATTTAAGTAAACTATATTAAATATCCTTACTAGCCTCAAAATTTTCAAATTAGCCAATTGTTTCTAAAGCATACAATTTAAATTGTTTTGAAACAGCACCTTTCCTTCTTTTTGTACTCATATTTCAGTGATTTACGTAACACTGAATTAAATGCTTCAGTAACAAACACAGTGGCATAAAGTTTTTAGAATGACCAAATCCTCCCCTCAGCTCACCCAATTCAAGCTCAATCTTATAATACAGTTAAGTCCTTCCTAACGTCCTCTTACTGAGTCTCTGCTGTTCCCCTGGGGGTGCATTCTCCTTTGAGGCAAAAAGTAATAAATCCAAATAACTGTTAAGTAAAGTGCATTTACATATGGACATAAAAACATCTCCAAGACAATGACTGAAAAAAGAGATTCTGAATACATACAGTAAAATATATGGAAATAAACAAACGTTTTTTCCAAGATAATGACTGAAGAGATGCAGAATACATACAGTAAAATATGTTGAAATAAACAAATGTTTTGACTTGATAGCACTGAGTAAGGTGTAGACAGACACGTGCTAGCATGTTAATAATGTTTATCATTAGAAAGAAAAATAAGATTGTATTGAGACTGGTGGTAGGGAAAAATGGGGGTAGGGGGCAAGTTTTCTTTTTGCTTCAATTAACTGCTTGACTATTTACTTCCCTGAGCAATTTAAGTGTTAGAGACATAATTCAAAGATATTAATGAAATAGAATGGGACTTCTTGTTCAAAACAGTTTTTTCAAAGTAAGGCGTTCTAGTGATCTCCACACACACCCTTCTCAGCATCTCACCTAATGAGTCCTTATTAAGAAGGAGGGAGGGCTAAAGTTAAGTCACTATTCTTCATTTCTTACCTAATTAGTAAGGTTAAGTCATTTTCTTTTAAATACAAGATTACACATGACTGAGATTTCTGGAAGTCTAACAGATAAATTAGTGTAATATTCAACAGAATGATTAAGATAATCAAATACGTTTTTGTGAAGCCAAATTAAATTAAAATACAAGAGAAAACACAAAGTATTTCTCTTATTTAAATAGCTAGAGGCCCGGTGCATGAAATTTGTGCATGGGGGGAGGAAGAGGAAAGGGGAGTGGGAGAAGGTGTCCCTCAGCCCAGCCTGCACCCTCTCCAATCTGGGAACCCTGTCACAATCCAGTACTGCTGGCTCACAACTGCTTGCCTGCCTGCTTTCCTGATTGTCCCTAACCACTTCTCCCTGCCAGCCTGATTACCACCTAGCCACTCCCCTGCCCGTCTGATTGCCCCTAACTGCCCTCCCCTGCAGGCCTGGTGACCCCTAACTGCCCTCCCCTGAAGAACTGTTCACCCAAACTGCCCTTCCCTGAAGGCCTGGTTCATCCCTAACTGCCCTCCCCTGCAGGCCTAGTCACTCTTAACTGCCCTCCCCTGCAGGCCTGCCCCCCCCCCCCCCAACTGTTCTCTCCTCTAGGCTTGGGTTCCCCCCAACTGCCCTCCCCTGTAGGTCCGGTCACCCCCACCTTCCTCCTCTGCCAGCCTAGTCACCCCTAACTACCCTCCCCTGCAGGCTTGATTGCCCCCAACTGCCCTCTCTTGCAGGCCTGATCCCTTTCAGCTGCCCTCCCCTGTTGGCCATCTTGTGTCCACATGGGGGCAGCCATCTTTGACCACATGGGGACAGCCATATTGTGTGTTGGAGTGATGGTCAATTTGCATATTACTATTTTATTAGATAGGATAATTTAAGTGAAAGCAACATGAATATTCCTGATTTTTAAAATCTATTTCTGAAAGGATAAATTTTTAAATGGGCTATATGCAAAAAAATTTCCTCCTGTAATATATTAACAAATCTTAAGTTACAGTATTAAATTATTTTTAATAACCTCCACTGACAGTTTTACAAAGTGTTCTCACAATAATACTTCATGTAATTGGCATCTATAATGTCCTAGTCCCACCTGATCTTTTCCTTCTTCTAAATAAAAATAATAACGTAACTATGTTCAAGGCTACTAAAAATCATTCTGAGGAAACATTTCACAGGTGAATTGCAAAAGAATTAAAATTTCATTGACAAATAAAACAGGGAATGGCTATCACGTAAAAGTATTGTATTAAGTAAGTGCTTTGACTTTTTACCATCTTATTTAATTGTTAACAAGCCTGATGAAGTTGAAATTATTATCCCTCTCATTTTAAGAAGATAAAGAGCTCTATTTCCAAAGATTAAATAATATGCCTGGGTCTCCAGAAAATGACAGCACAAATTCAAAAAAAGGCTAATGTTCTTTCCTGTATTCCACACTTTCTTGAAATGAACCACTTCTCAAGTTTTTCTAAACAAATGATACCTCAAACCTCACTGCAATATTCCACTCCCACTATAAATACAACTACTATATTCAGTTTTTCTTCACATTAATATATTTTCAAAAACATATTTTTACTTATTGCAGAAAGCAAGGAAGAGGGAAAGATAGAAATCATCAATGATGAGAGAGAATAAATGATAGGCTGCCTCCTGCATGGCCCATACTAGGGATCAAGCTCGCAACCTGGGCATGTACCCTTGACTGGAATCGAACCTGGGACCCTTCAGTCTGCAGGCCAAACCTCTATCCACTGAGCCAAACCAGCCAGCGCTTCATGTTAATATATTACTCAGTATTTTTATTAGATTTCTCAGTCAATAAAACATAAAAATTATAATGTCTATATATTGTATATAAATGACTAAATAAATAGTAAATAAGTATTGATGTTATATAAATAGATTAGGGGCCTCTTAAGTTCATTTACAAGGAGTCAAGCTTTGAAGTAACAAAACATTTTTCTAGCATTTATAGAAAAGGTTACTCACGTTTTAAAAAATAGTCAAGCAGAATTAAGTAAAGAGTACCATTTACTGGTATCATTAGACAGTGACATTTAAAACTTTGCCCTTTTAAAAGGAAGTGATCTTTCTCTGGAGAAAGGCTTTCATTGCTAATAATTTTTAACTTTACCTGAAAAAAATCTTCCTCTGTCCTTTTTTTGTGTGCTAAGGCTTAGAGAAGAGGTATTTCTAATTAATTGCTGTTTGACTAAGTAATGTCTCTCCATAACATAATAAACAGTGCCAAGACCTTACTCTTTTAATTTTTTCTTTAACTAGGAAAATTAATGGCTCCATATTAATAAACTCACCCATAGAAAATAAGCTGAGATTCTTATCCAGAGAGGAACATACTGGCACACATTTGAGCTGGACTAACAAATTGTTGTGACCTGTCACTCCAACGCACAGCCTTACAAACGCTGCTAACAAAAGGAACCCAGTAACTTGGCCTGAATCTTTAAGCGCAATTTAAAGATGCACCATAACATGACACTCTTCTAATGGGCAGAAACTAGTTTTTCAGGTAAATTTCCTAAATAAGAAAATGATGAGATTAAAATAACAAATCTGATCATAAAACAAAATAAAAACTAAATTTTAAACACTTTTTTTTTTGCTTCCTTAAGGCATTTTCTACTTCCTAAGTATTCTTCCTCCCAATTTCTCTAAAATTGTAAGCCCACAAATTAAACCGACTTAGAAGTAAATATAATGCCTCTATAAATCTGTGTTGAAATGCCGCCATCTGCTGGCTCCTGACAAAACCTAAAGACCAGATATGGGTGAATTTCCTTTCATAAGCCCCACAAGCCTTCACGTTGGCCACAATGCCTAGACTTAACACGGGTGGTCCTCTGTACACCAGACACAGGAAAGAGCCTCTCTGAGACTGGAGCATGTGTGACTTTGACTAAAGAAAAAAACAACACACAAAAACAAAATCTCCCCCAGAAAACCAGACAATAAGATGAATATTAGAACAACTGTTCTCTGCTATAAAAAACCCAATGTGTAGGGAGTGGTCAATAGTCTTCACTGTCCCCCACAGACCTTCAAAGAGCAAATAGGGATTTTTTTTGCTCACCAGAAAGATAAGAATAAATAAATATAGTA